GAACTGTCTGAAATATAATCATAAAACAAAATTAGGAAGCACTACTTTGAACAGTAGCAACAAAAAAAAAACTGATTTTGAGGAAAAATGCCTTAATTTTTTAAGATTTTCTCTGTGAGCTAGCAAAGTTTTGTTTCTTTTTAGCTGGGAAATCTCAATATTCAAATATAATTTGAGGTTTCCTCTTTATAAGGACATCAAACATTCCTCATTAAAATTACATCAAATTAGGATTCAGACCAAATATTTATGTGTTATTGTAACCAACAAGACAAATTAAGTCACATATATGGATTTAATTATGATATCAGGATGATCCAGGTATCAAAATGTAGCTTTTAAAGCCAATAATCTGCAAATGTAATTAGGTCATTTTGACCAAATTTGACTTAATCCTCATTTCGATATGATGGGTCACAAATATGAACCTGAGCGCACCTGAGACTCCTCCCCTGACACGCCCCCATTTAAATATGTAAAATAGATAAAAATGTGTCCAGCGTGTGAGATTCTCCTCAGATTGTCCTCGATGTCTAGATGCAGGAAAATGATGAATTAAACGGAGAATGAGTGAGAAAGTGTCTAAGTAGTGGTGTGTGAAAATGTATTTGCCACACACAAAAGAATAGTGATTGTATGGATGTGTGTGCATGCACACACACTTTTGTGTACGCGCTTGTGTGAAGCTGCTGTCTTCAGCAGCGCATGAGGCAGAGAGACATTTCCACCTGTACACGTCTTTGATAAATGACTGTAAACACAGGAAGTTTTCTTGTATGTATATTGCTCTGTTTTCTGAATGAAATAAATGAAATCGACTCGAGGAGTTTCCTCGTGGTGTGGGACTTGGATGTCACAATCATGAAGTCTCTCATTCAGCTGCATGGCTCGGCTCAGAACTACAGTAAAATACCTGACTGTAATTTGTTCAGTGTGATCCTCAAAACACACTGCTTCCCAATCCTTCTTGTGGTGATGTTGTGCGTGATGAAATACCTCCAGATTAGTTTGGATACATTTCTCTAAATGATCAGACAAAATGTTTCTGTACACTTCAGAATTCATTCTGCTGCTGCCATCWTRATGAGCCWGTTCCAGAAGCAGCCATGACATCACCTGCACCGTACTTCACAGATGAGCTTGTGTGCTTCAGATCATCAGCAGTTCCTTTCTTTCTCCACACTTTAGTCTTTCCGTCACTTTGGTAGAGATTAATTTTGGTCTCGTCAGTCCAGAAGATTGTCTTCCAGAACYTGTGCWGCTCATCTCTRTACTTCTTTGTAAATTTCAATCTGTCCTTCWGATTCTTCTTMCTGAGGAGTGGTTTGTATATTTGGGCATGGCCTCTATATTTCTGCTCTCTGAGTCTTCTTCCATCAGTGGATTGTGATACCTTCACCCCTGCCCTGTGGAGGTTGGTACTGATGTCTGAGGTTTATTTTCACAGCTCTCACAATATTTCTGTCATCAACTCCTGTTGTTGTCTTTGGTCAACCTGTTGGACGTGTGCTGCTCAGTACACCAGTAGCTGACGACGTCTGCCTCGTATCAAACAAAACAAACTGAAATTATTTACCAAATTTATGCGTGTCTAATGGTAAAATGGTAAATGRCTTGAATGTRTATAGCACCTTATCAAGTCCACATGAACTTCAAAAGCACTGTAAACTTCAGACAGTCACACACAGATTCAGGACTTTGTGGTTTAAAGCTGTCAACTGAAAAACTGTGACTGTCTGCACACTCTCACAGCAGGTGAAAGATATGCACCGTTTATACAYGAGGCCCCTGGAGATGTTTGAATGAATGACAACAAATTTCTTCAGTGAATCAATCAATAATTATTTGTCTAACCTGTCTGTCTGGTTTACATTTCTTCATTTGTCTTCAGCTGGTAACAACTAAACCTGTCATTTTTCAGGTTTGGTGTACCACAAACAGACAGTGCACTTTGATGAGAAGCCATTCGTCTGCGACGAATGTGGYGCAAAGTTTGGTGCAAACTCCTCTCTGAAAAATCACATGAGGCTGCATACTGGAGAGAAACCATACCACTGCCAGCACTGTGACATGAGCTTCAGTGTGGCAGCTGCACTCTCATACCACACCAAGAAGAAACACTCAGAAGGTATGACACACACACACACACACACACACACACACACAC